TAAAGCAACAAGCTTTGACACAATATACCAACAGCATTGTGGTTTCATAATGTATATTAATAAATAATTCAGCCACACCTTTGATGAAGTAAATGACGTGTTCATGTTGAGTGTTGTTGAGGAGAGGTCAAGCTCAGGTGACATATGCATGTCAAATTTACACTGCAGGAAAGCGCTTCTGAAATATAATTTTGGTGTCTTTAGTTTACACAGATTGTTTAATGTTGCTCAGAGGAGGCATGAATGCATTTGCACAGCAATTCTAACTGTATATGTATATATCACACTGTAAAAAAAATATATTTTCAAGATTTATCTCAACATTTTTTCTTTTGTCAAATCAACTTAATTAACTTATTATTTTGAGTTTCTGATGATTAAATTAATCTCCTTCATTGTATGAACTCACTTTTTCAGTTCAATCAACTTAAAATTTTAAGGCAACCGGGTTATTTACTTTTTTAAGTTAAACCAACAATAGTTTTTTACAGTGCAGAGTTTCCGATGGTGCAGGTTAAAGTGACCTTTTGGTGATATGATGGTCAAATTTCGCCTCTTAATTGGTCAATTTGAGGAAAACTGGAGGCAGGCTATGCAACTTATCATATTATACAATATTTCAGTATTGTATTGATATTGTGATTAGCTTTTGTTTTATTTGTTCCGATTCTTATTTTATTTTTATTTTTAAATTTAGTTTTTCAATATTTTTTGTACATTTGATTTACCAAGCAAATTGATATTTTTGAATATTGTGAATATATGAATGAATATTTTTTTTTTTTTGTTGCTCACAGGTAGTTCTTTTATAACTCAGTTCCTAGTTATATTTCATTTAAGTTCAAAGGTTGTCTCAGATGATTCTTAACCAAATAGTAAGATTTTAGAGCTAAAAAATGAATGTCAATAGCAGCTCAGATCATTTGGTGAATTTGATGAGAAATATCTGATTTTTTTATCTGATATCTTGCTGAATCTGAATTGATTCAATGGCTTTCTATGAGCAACAGTTGAGATATTACAAAGATCTCATGTGATCCTTTTCTCTGATTGGGCAGTGAAGATGCCAGATGAGGACCGGTATCAGAAACTCCACATGCCCATCGATATCTACTCGAGAGTTAAAGGAGATGTGCTTTAGTTCAGGTTAATATTATTACTAGAGCTCGTCGGAGGCATCGGGAGATGGACGACTTCCTCTGGTAATGAGAATAGAGTTTGTTAAGGTGAAGTCGGGCTTGCATGAATCGGTTAGTTTTGCTGGCCTCAGGGTGGGGTCAAGGTCAACATGTGGAGCGAGTGAGTCATCAATCAATGTGATCCGCTCGCCCTCCGCATGTTTGTCATCAATCACACTGATGGACCTGTGTGTGTGTGTGTGTGGGGTGGGTTGGGGGGAGGGAGAAGGGGGGGTCAGAGGTAATGGTTAATTAGTGACTAAACCATGTAGAACAACAGATGCCAGACCATGAAACAAGAAGCCAATTGATGTTTGTGTGTGTGTGTGTGTGTGTGTGTGTGTGTGTGTGATCTTCCATGTCCTTAGGAGAGGAACCTGATCTTGATGGTTTTTGTCTAAAAAAATCCTAGTGCTCTGTAAACCATCATTACACACACACACACACACACACACACACACACACACATTTATCTAGCTATCTAAATTGAGACTTCCCATTGACTTCTGTTTTTCTTAAAGGGATAGTTCACCTGAAAGTGATCTCCTTATCATATCACACCAAATATTTTTTATAAACTAATGTTCAAGTTGAAAACAACTTTAAAAATATATAAATTTTACTCTTCCTTATGTTCTTTTGTGGACTTAAATTTCAATCCTCAGTTCCTCTAGTAAAGTTTTATTCATCAAATAATCCTTATAAAAAATGATCACGGTTTCCACTATAATATTAAGCAGCACAACTGTTTTCAACATTGATAATAATAATAATAATAATAAATGTTTCTTGAACTGCAAATCGTCATATTATACTGATTATACTGATTTCTGTAGGATCATGTGACACTGAAGACTGGAGTAATGATGCTGAATATTCAGCTTTACCATCACAGGAATAAATTACATTTTACAATATATTCAAATTAGTTAACAGTTATTTTAAATTGTAATAATAATGTATGGTTGATTATATAAATGCAGCCTTGGTGAGCATAAGAGACTTCTTTCAAAAACACATTACAAAACATGACCTCAAACCTTTGACCGGGAGTGTTTCATAGACGAAAAAGTCAAACAGATTTGACATACAAATAAAATGCAAGTAAATAATGCCAGAATTTTCATTTCAAATGCATAATTTATCCTCTTAACATGAGCGTCTGTGCTGTATAAGATGAAGACTGAGAAATAAGTGACAAATTTTAAAGGAGATTAAAGAAAATAAGATAATCAGAACAAGACGAGACATTCGGGATGTTGTTTAATTAAAAGTATAAGATCTTCTGTGTATGTGTGTGTGAGTATTTTGAGGAGCGATTTTCAGTCCACCCACTGCAGCAGTCCGTCTCTCAGCGTCTCACTAATGGAAAGACGTTGATTTGAGGGGTCAGAAATGTTACTGATATGCTGACACGACTGGTTACTGACACGGCTGGAATGTGTGTTGGAAACCAGAAGACACTTTTCTTTGTCCCGTTATCTCAGAGGGTCTTGTCATGTAGTGTGTGTTTGGATGTCTGCGAAGGTTTTTCTCTACAGAAAAGCTCATTCAGTTCAGTGAAGATTAAGTTCAGTGGGAAGAGCGAATGAGAGATGATTTCCTCTTCCTTTGGCGTCTCCTGCACCTCTGGATCAATCTTAAACCGAGATTAGAGTCCGAGATTGATGGTGATAATCTGTTCCCTTCATTAGGATTAGCAGAGGAGCATCTAAGAGCCTTAGGAGATCCTTGTGCCGTTTAGTTTTTCCTTCCAGTTTCTGTTCACTTGTATTTCTCAAGTTCTTCTTTACTCCTAGAGTTTCCAGCAACATTTAACCTTATAAAGCCTACTGTGTATATATATACACATATATACACACACACATATATATATATATATATGTATATACACACACACACACATATATATATATATATATATATATATATATACACACACACACACACACCTTGTGTCGTCTGATAGTTTATACGTTCTTATCAAGTAAAAGGCATTTTAGTATCATTCTAAAAATGTGCAATTTTGGGTCACTTTTTTGTATTAAAATACTGTTTTGTTTTTTTTTTAAGATGATCAATTACTGGATTTAATGTTTTGTTTTGAAGAATCTTGTTAAAATGTGAATAACAAATATGATACATTAGGCTCTTGAATGTTTATTAGTACTTCTCTCAATCATCATTGTTTTGCATTGCATTTTCTGTGTTGCTCCTAAAATAAAAATGATAGAGCTCTGATCATTTTATAATTTATAAATAAATAAACTTTCATTTTAATTATAGAGCTCTGATAATATATTCTTACTAAGACATATATTATTGGCAGATAACAACTGATATGCATGTGAGATCTTAATGTTTGACCATATAAATAACAGCATCTGCTCCAAATTGCATATTTTTGCAATTTTGGGCCCCATCTGAGCTCCATATTGTCATTATCATACCATAAAAGCCTGACATTTCTGATTCTCAAAAAAAAATAAAAAATAAAATAAAAAATCATATAAAAAACTTTCTTAAAGTTTTTCTTTCTTTTTTAAACAATTAAATTTTTATTTCATATGTCTGGCTTTAAAGGGTAAGCATGCATGCATGACTTCCTTTGTGTTCATATTATATGTGATATCGTTAAATGCAAATAAAAAAAGACATTTGCATTTTAAAATTAGTTAATAAGGGGCCGTTTACACACAAATTTTTCAGTTTTTTGTTGAAAACGGCTGTGTTTTGGCCGATCATTTACACGACAACAGCATTTGGGTGGCCTGAAAATGCAAAGTGCAAAATTTTGAAAAAATTAATAAATAAATACTATTATCGTCTCTGTGTAAAACTACAAAAGCACAAATTTGTGAAAGCGTTGACATCATCCACATGCGTATTACGTGTTCAATCTATAGGCGTGCAATTATAGTTTCTTTACAAAGTGACATCGGCAACTACTGGCCTGACATGAACAATACAGCGTTTTAGTCGTTTTCACAGATCATGTGAACGGGGATCATTTTGAAAGGGTTGTACGTGAAAAATGCAAATTGAATACGTTTCCATTTTCTCGTGTAAACATCTTTAAATACATGACTTTTGGGTGGAACTCATTTATTATCAGTTTGCAATCCCATTCATGGCTACTTCTCAATGGGTATTAATGCAACAAAATGCTTTTTGCTATCATATGTTTTAGTTACCACATCCACCAGCTGGAGAGAACAGGATCATGCTAACCAGCCAAACCTTGACCTCATGTTCCCATTGTTTCTGTTTGGTCTCTGGAGTCGGGGAGAAGTTTATAGTAGTGTGCTGGAGTCTACGGCATCTTTCATCCTCCCAGTCCTCATCCATATGTACACAGACGTTTAAACACTGAGTGATGATCACGTGTGTGTGCACGTAAATGAGTGATAAGGGCGATGAAACGCAGTGTTTTTCAGGCAGGGAGGAGTAGGAGGACACGACACGCTAGATTATTTAAACATCACGCATTCTTTATTTATGATGTCAAAACATGTTTTACTCAGATATATGGATGGGAGAATTAAGGGTGACTGGTGCATGCTGGGAAAACACCCAGAATTCCTCATTCATCATCCTCTGTCTCTCGCTCTCTTGACTTCACCTCCCTTTCCTGGCTTTTCTCTCCATCTTAAATGCATCACTGTTTCGTATGTGGAAAACTGGCGGCTTTTCATCTTCCACCTTTGTCTGCTTATATACTTTATAATCATTTCATAATCTAATCATATAATAATGTGATTTAGACGTGTTATCTGTATTTACACAGAGTTAACGTCATCCTGTGTGTCTCTTCTCTCGTAGTGTGTAAGGTGGGCTACTACAGGTCTCTTTCTTCAGACGTTGGTTGTCGTAAATGTCCACTGCACAGTTACTCCATGAAAGAAGGAGAAACTTCCTGTGATTGTGACCAGGGATATTACAGATCGGAGACCGATCCGGCTGCCATGCCTTGCACACGTGAGTTAAACGCAAACATACGCACCAGTTTGAAGTGGGTGAACATGTTTTTGGAAACTGCTATGATGGTGATTTGCATGGACCTTGGAGTACCATGTAAATGGGTATTTGTGAGTTTAAATATTTTACTTTTAAATGTATTATAATATTTGACTATATTGGGTTAAGTAGAAAAGTTTCCATTTATTACACTTCTTTATTAATAAAAAAATTAGGGCTGTCAAACGATCAATCGCGATTAATCGCATCCAAAATAAAAGTTTGTGTTTATATTATATATGTGGGTGCACTGTGTATAATTATTATATGTATATAAATACACACACATGCATGTATATTTAAGAAAAAAATATTATTTATATATAAAATATTTATATTTATGTTTAATATAAATCTATATACTGTATATACATGAAAATATTTCTTAAATATAAACAAGCATGTGTGTGTATTTATATATATATATATATAAAATAATTATACACAGTGCACCTATATTATGTAAACACAAACTTTTATTTTGGATGCGATTATTCGTGATTAATTGTTTGGCAGCCCTAAAAAAAAATATATTTTTTTAATACCTGATGTCCATATTGAATAATTTATACCTGTATAATGTACTTTAATTTCAAAATTAAATTTGAATTTATTACAAATTAGCTTTAAAGGTACAATATGTACTATTTTGTAATAAAATATTGTAATTTTGTAATAAAATATCCAAAAATCACTTGCACAGTGGGATATATATTCCTGTAGTTGTGCACTTACAATATCCCAAAAGTCTCCAATGATTTTTTATTTCAGAAAAATTACAAATTTAAAAAAGTGGCCGTCCCGGAAAAAAATGTCACCTGTCAATGACGCAATATTCGCGCTATCCTCGGTTTCCGTTAATACTGCCATAGCAATGACGTAACCATGGCGACAGACGACGACAACTACTTAGTGCGTAACGTTTAGCGGCACGCTGTTGTTGTTTCGTTCAAACATTATGGACCATAGCAAGCAGACTTTGGGACAAACAAGGAGAACTAAAATGAGGATCAATATCAGCGTGGCGTTTTTGAGATGCCGCGAGCTCCACGTCCGTGTCTAACTTGGACGTGATTGCGCTTAACGAGTCACGACTTGACAGCTTAATTAGACAAGTGAGCAAACTCTCTTGTGGCAAAAAAATCGTACATATTGTGCCTTTAAAAGGAAAAAAGAGCTGAGCATATTGTCTGAAAAAAGTAAATAAAGAAATAACTAATTGAAAGCAAAATCTGTAATGTATGTCGTGCATGGGCATGTGATTATTTCTGTTCTCATCCTTTTATGTGCAGCAGATGTTCCTCACATCAAATAAATTAATTTAAATGCGACTGTATCAGTCTCACTCGACCAGCTGTCTGTCTGTCCTCTCTCTCTCTCTCTCTTCCATACTAATGACCAGCTCTGTCTCTTTGTATAACAGACGCTGTTTTTCCTCTCCTTCTGTTTTAGTTTTTTTCTCTCATCCTCCTATTCATTGGGGATGAAACATTTTAACGTATACAGAACGGCACACACAGACACAGACACTAATACAATTTAACTATGGAACAATAATAACTGTGGCTCATCCAATCAGAATTTACATAATTCTGATTGTTTTACAATAAATATTTACAGTAAAGTATTTATGTAACATGTAAATTCATATATATATAAGGCTGCATTTATTTGATCAGAAATACAGTAAAAACAGCAATATTGTGAAAAAATATTATTATTACAGATTGAAAATAACAAATTTCTTTTGCAATATATTTTATAATGTAATTCATTCTGTGATCAAAGCTGTATTTTCAACATCAGTGTCACATGATCATTCAGAAATGAGTATAGTATGCTGATCTGCTGCCAAAGAAATATTTCTAATTATTATCAGAGTTGAAAACAGTTTTGCTCGTTAATATTTTTGTGGAAACATACATGTTATTTAGAAATAAACTAGGGCTGTCAAACGATTAATTAATCCAAAATAAAAGTTTGCGTTTACATAATATATGTGGGTGCACTGTGTATAATTATTTATATATATGAATACACACTCATGCTTGTATGTATTTAAGAAATATATGTATAGATTTATATATAATTTATATTATACATAACTTAGGGCTGTGCAAAAATTAATTGCGATTAATCGCATCCAAAATAAAAGTCTGTGTTTACATAATATATTTGTGTGTGCTGTATATAATTATTTTGTATATATAAATACACACACATGCATGTATATATTTAAGAAAATGTGTTATTCATATGTAAAATATTTATATTTATATAATATAGATTATGTGTATATATATATATATATATATATATATATATACAGAATTTAAGCGCAAATAATTCTTAAATATATACATGCATGCATAGGTATTTATATATACAAAATAATTATATACAGCACACACAAATATATTATGTAAACAAAGACTTTTATTTTGGATGCGATTAATGGCAATTCATTTTTGCACAACCCTAATATAAATATAAATATTTTATATATAAATAATATTTTTTTCTTACATATACATGCCTGTGTGTGTATTTATATATATATATATATATATATATATATATATATATATATATACAAAATAATTATACACAGTGCACCCACATATATTATGTAAACACAAACTTTTATATCTCGATTAATCATTTGAAAGCCCTAAAATAAACCAATTTTCCAGAATATCTCTTGCTAAATGAAACTGCAGCCTATTTGTATGTGAGGGAAATGCACTCAGACTCTGAATGTCTTTATGGCAGGTCCTCCATCCGCACCACACAATCTGATATCTAATGTCAACGAGACGTCTGTGCTGTTGGAATGGAGTCCGCCCATCTCCTCCGGAGGCCGCCAGGATCTCACCTATAACGTGGTGTGTAAGCAGTGTGTGCGAGACACGCAGAGATGCGCGATGTGCGGGGACGACGTGCGATACTCTCCGCAGCGTCTAAGTCTGCGCTCCACGCGGGTGTCCGTTCACCAGCTGCAGGCGCACACCAACTACACCTTCCAGATCTGGGCCGTCAACGGGGTGTCCAAACACAACCCCAGCCTGGAGCAGGCCGTGTCCGTCACGCTCACCACCAACCAGGCTGGTAAGTGCAAGTGTGTGTGTGTGTGTGTGTGTGTCTCCCAAACATGTTCAAATTTAATCAGGTGTCATGTTTGCATGTGACATGCTACTGGCCAAAAGTTTACAATAATAAAATATTTTTATTTTGAAATACATTGATAGGCTGCATTTATTCGATGAAAAAATATACTAAAAATTTTAATATTGTGAAATATTATTACAGTTTAATGTTTTCTATTGTAATATATTTTAACCCTAAAACCGTATTCTGGAGAAATGTGGGCAAAATAGTTTTGATTTATTTTTAAAAAATACTTCCCTTGATCTGAGCGGTACAAGACTTGGCTACTTTTCCTAAGTTTTCCTCCTGAACACACACATTTTTTTTTTTACTCAATTCTACAATGTTAACTGGGTGAAAAAAAGCTCCTTAATCTTGTATTTGGGTCAAAAATGGGCACCCATTGAAATTAATGGGAAAAACGGAAATTTAGAGCGTTCTAAAATAAGCCAAAATAAGACACAAGGTGACAGCAAAGTCACTTCATCTTTAGGTTTTAGCTCTAAGAACTTATTGGAATGATATTTTAATGTAGTTAAAAAAAAAAAAAATAAAACATAAAAATAAGCATAATTTACATAGAAAATATGGTACTTTTTGAAGTAAATAAATTCAAAAATACCCCCAAAATAAAAAACAACACCATAAATGGATTGAGAAAACTTTATCAAAGACAGTGATATAACATTTATAATAAATAAAAATTAGGATCACACCTGAGTCCTCTGTGCCCACATTTGTCCACAATTACAGGATTAAGGGCTATAAAGTAAATACAGTTTGAGGGCTACAGTGTAATTTATTCCTGTGATGGTGAAGCTGAATTTTCAGCATCAACACTCCAGTGTTCAGTGTCACATGATCCTTCAGAAATCAGTCTAATATGATGATTTGAGGCTCGAGAGATATTTCTGATTATTATCATTCTTTAAAACATTTCCTCATCTGCTCGATATTTGAGTTGAAATCAATTGAAATTTATACTTTAACTTTCTATTTGGCTAAGAATTTGATTTTGTTTTTGTATTAAGCATTAAAAAACCGTTTGCAACATACATACATACAGTAAAAAGAACAATTCATATTTGAGCACCAATAATAATTGAGCAAATCAGCTGATTTGTTGCTGAAAATTTTGATCACACAAATAAATTACATTTTAAAAATACATTCAAATGGAAAATAGTTATTTTAAATTTGAAATAATATTTCACAATATTACTGTATTTTAGATCAAATGAATGTAGAAGAGACTTTTTTCAAAAACTTTTTCACAAGAGAAAACATTTCACAAGGTTCAGTTTCCCTCGCCTAATCAACTATGGAGAACTTCTGCATGACCTTTCTGCTCCATTACAAACACACACACATGTAGAGCGTCAAATACACTCTATTTTGATTCATGACTGTGTGTGTGTGTAATTGCCGACTTGTGATATGCGGTCTGTGCTCTTGATGGTGTCTTGGGTTTCCATCGGAATAGAGCGTTAGCTGGAGATCCGGAACTTTCTGTGACAACCCAAGCCTGTAAATCAGCCTGAGGGATCGCAGTGTGCAGTTTAGGGTGTAGGGCGTAGTGTGGAAGGGTGGGGTTTTGTCATGCATTGACGTGCCTTTGGCTACAGAACATAAGACCTCAATATATGTGTCCTACTTAGACGTGCACTGGGCAGTTGTGTGTGTGTGTGTGTATACAATAATTAACATATGCTTCTTAACGTATATGCTACTGACATAGTTATACACAAAACATAATATATTCCTGCTGTCGTAGTCAGATTTTTTAAAGTTTCATGGAATGGGAAGCTGTGTAAAATCTCCTTATACTAAAAAATGCTGGGTTATTTCAACCCAAATTTGGATCAAATATGGACAAACCCAAATTTTGGGTTAAAAATGTACAGTTGAAAGTTGGGTTAAAATTTTAAATAACATTTTTAACCCAACATTTTGGGTTTGTCCATATTTTACCCAATTTTGGGTTAAAACAACCCAGCATTGTTTAGAGTGTAACCGTGTATAATACTGTATGTATCAGTGTTGTAGTCGAGACCACCTCACTCGAGTCCGAGTCGACACCGAGACCAGAGAGAGTCGAGTCCGAGTCAAGACCGAGTCCATAGAGAGTCGAGTCCGAGTCTAGTCCGAGACCAGAGACGGTCGAGTCCGAGTCGAGACCGAGACCAGTGAAGGTTGATTACCTAATTTACTTTTATTTACTTAGAGAAATCCTTTTTTTTTTTTTTTTTACCGAATTTACTTATATATGATCAGTTTAGGGAAATATGATCAGTTTAGGGTAAAAAGGCCACATAGTAGGTGGTGTTAAAAGTAATTTTATTACAATTTGTCATGCGCAGTTGTGCACTAGAAAATCTCCAATCACTGGGTGTGTCAATCAATTTAAAGAAATATTTTATTAACATACATTAATAATCATAAAAAATATTTTTAATTGAACTCGAGTGGACTCGGGAATAATTCCGAGTCCTAAAAAAACATGTTCGAGTACGAGTCAATTCCGAGTCCAAATGGACATGAGTCCATGACGAGACCAAGACCAATAAAATATTACTACAACACTGGTATGTATAATATAGTAAAAACCATGTATAACCATAAAATACTGTAATATGTTGCTTTATAAATCTGATAAAAGATGCCAATTTTCACTTTTCAAATCATATGTCTCTAATGACAGCAAAAACAAACAATTTTGGATTACAGATAATTGTAAAGACAATAGACAATAAAATGCAAAACCTTGAAATGCTTATTTTGAAGAAACCTTAACGATCAAAATCACTTAAGTCTGATTAGTAATTAAATATAATTATATAACTTGAAATTTGTATTTGAGCAATAAAGACTCGAATTATATCTTTTGTTTTTCTATAAAACAATGTTATGACAAAATGATGTAAATTCTGACTATCCTAGCATGCACTAAAGGCGTTAACAAATAAGCATAGTGATGTTCCTAAATCATTTTACTGAATCTTAACATAAATCTTAAAGCTTGAGTGTTAACGATGAACGGGCGCAGATTCTCATCTTTCCTTTTGACGTTATCTCAGCCACACACACACACACACACACCCACAACTCCATTACGGCCCATATCTGTCCGAGCAGACGGCATGATGGATGTGTGTTAGAGATGAGTGTGTTAGGTGGTTGAAGGGGGGCGGTGACCCCTGTGTTGTTGGCTGGAGGGGGTCGTCTCCGAGTCCCCCGAGGGACGCTCCTAAATCACGTTTAGTCTGTCGGGCCTGGCAGAGGAAGACGGATCTGTGAGATGGACGAGGGCCGCTGTCGAGCTGCTGCTACAGCTGGCGGGGGATCCGATTGTTTAACAGTCACACACACGCTAATGCATGAAACTCTAGCTTTAGCACTTGAATTTAGGGCGCTCATAGATATGTGCACTTTTTGTACATTTTGCTGATGGTGGGGGGAAATTGGTCTGGATAGTGGAGCGCTGCATGATTAAATGAAATAAAACTGAAATCGGGTTATGGCTTAGTGCAATTATCTCATCACAAAGGCTGAAATCGAATTAAATACATGCACAGCATGTTTCAGAGTGAAGCACTTCACCGTGTTCATTTACAGATCATCATCATGTGTCTTCAGTGTCTCAGAGCGGCTTCACGGTAAATGCCACTCCACATGAACTCGTCTCGGCGTTTGCTCTGAGTTTATAATGTGCATTTTAAAAATGTGCCAATCATCTACCCAAAATTTGAATGAGCGCTCATAAACCGGCTGTTGTCAACAAGAGAGTAGCTTTAAAGAGTAGTTCACTTTTAAAAAGACTTTTGCTGATAATTTACTCACCCCCATGTCATCCAAGATGTCCACGTCTTTCTTTCTTCAGTCGAAAAGAAAACGGTCCAAAAGACAGTTTCAGTGCAAACTGTTCAAAGGGCTTTAAACGATTCCATACGATGAATAAGGGTCTTATCAAGCGAAACGATCGCTCATTTAATAAATAAATAACAAAGTTTAAGTTTTATAAGCTCAAATGGTCGCCTTGCTCTGTTTTGTGATGCGCGTTTGTGACTCTCCTGTTCGAACTCGCTCATCAAAATGAACGAATCTTTTTCCGAGTCTTTTGGTTCATTCAACGAACGAATTGAGAGTTCGAACAGGTACTCCTTTAAGGGCTTCCTGTAGTTTTCCTTCAAAATAAAAGCTTGATGGTTTAACGTTTAAAAATGAAAACTTAATACAGCCATGAATATTAGTACTGCCATTTTAATAATATTTTATTTTATTTTATTTTAATTAAATACTAGATTTTTTTTAATTTTTATTTTAGAGTGACATATTACAATATTAATATTTCTTATTTAGTCTATTATTTTAATAATAACATTATTTAATTGTTACAGCCAACGTGTTTTTTCAGTTTCAGCAGCACAAGATTGAATCTCTGTTCCTCAGAATATTAGAGAACTTACAACTTACACTTTGTTTAAAACTGGGTCATAATACACCAGTCATGTCAGCATTAATAAGTATATATAATTTCTCTCTACCCGATTGTGCTGCCATCTGTGTCACTGTTGGGTAACTGTTCAACATTTTTATATTAATTTTAACCAAATGTTGAAAATATAGTGAATTTGTACACTGTATTTACCTAAAGGATTTAACGAGTATTATTGTTTTATTGTTTTTATATTTAGTATTTTTCTTGTAATGTTTTAATTGCTGTTTCTTTTTAAGGTAGACAATATTAACATCTGTCCAGGGACAATGGATGAAAAAATGGCTAATTCTGGTACATTTGCTGTATTACTAATTAATGTGCATTGTCCCTGTCAAATAAATAAATAAATAAAAATATATATATATATAATTTTTTTAATTATTTAATTTTTTAAATCGTTACAATTATTTATTATTTTACAATCTTATTGATATTTAATCGCAACCCTACAAACAAGCTTTTTTTAAATTTTAGATTAAAATGTTTAAATTAGACAATATATGTCAAAATATGTTAAATAGAGCTAATAGTTAGATAGCTGAAAGTCATGCTAGTTTGTTTGTATTTTCTTTTTCTTTTTTGAAGAAGAAGAAAGTGTGAGTTTGCCCATGTAAAACATCAAGTTTTCTGTAACATTGTGGCCTTAGAGTTGGAAGTTTGAAGGCCAGATATGAGCAATAGTAATAGTCATGCTTGACTTAACGAACACCCTTAATTAGCCAAAATACGCAGAAGGGGAGGGGATGTGTAGGACTTCGCCAAAGACAGCATTTGGACTCTGTGGAAATATGGCAAGCGTTCTGTGCTGTGGTTTAGATATCTGGAGTTGTTCTGTTTAGATGAGGAAAATAATAAATGGAGATTTTTTTCCTTCACATCCCCCAGTTCTGTTTTCACTTTCTTTTGCTGTTTTTCTCTTTTATAATTGTTTTCGACTCTGTGTGATGTGTCTTTGGACAAGCAGAGAAGACAACGCACATCTCTGTTGTGTCAGATTCTGTCTGTTTGACTTTCTCACCCTCAACAAAAACAGCTTCGGGGGGGAAAGAAACCAAACAGACAATAGCGGACTTAACTCCAAATCCACGGTTTAGAAGAAGAAAAGGTCTCCTTGTCCTCTGGGTTTATCCTTTCTCTCCCTGTTTGTCTCTGATGTGATAAAAGACTGACAGATGTCTCAGGAAAACCTCACAAAAGTCAAATGTAGTAAACGTAAACCTTTTATAAAAATATGAACTCCTTCTGTCTCTCTTCAGCTCCCTCTACGGTCATGACTGTTGAGAGTAAGGACATCACCCGCCACACGCTCTCTCTGCTCTGGGACGAACCCGAGAAGCCCAACGGTGTCATACTGGAATATGAGGTTAAATACTACGAGAAGGTGAATGATGGGAAACATCAATTGTATTTTAAAATTCATCCTAAAACCCTCATGATGACAGAATTTTCATTTAAGGTGCACTGTGCCTTTAAGAAGGCAGTATAGCAATCTCCTGAGGACATTAGCTGTCTGGATAAACAGGAAGTGAAGTTTTATTGGAGTTAAAATAGCCCTCAAACGTCATCTCTCACCTTCCTCTTGTCTTCCGTTCTCTGTGTCTTTATTTATAAATCTCAGGACCAGAATGAGAGGAGTTATCGCATCGTGAAGACGATGTCTCGAAATGCTGATATCAAAGATCTGACCCCGCTGACCTCCTACGTGTTTCACGTGCGCGCTCGCACCGCCGCGGGCTACGGAGAGTTCAGCGCCCCCTTCGAGTTCAGCACCAACACTGGTGAGTGTACAGCTCATATACAGCAGTGTGTTTTTAAATGAGTTGGAATGATCTAGAATCAGATATATTTAAATAAATATACTTAATATATTTAAATTTAAATACTACTCAAATAAAATGAATAAAAAATTAATTCTAAATCTGTTTAGTTGCGGGTCACTAGCGTTGGAGGCTGACTAAACTGACGGAAAATATTAAATATTTTAGGGAGAAAAATCTGGATGGAATGGACTGCGTGATTTGGGGAATTGAATTGCGATTTTTACTGATAAAAAATGGAAATTACGTTTAAGTTAAAGTTTCTAGGAATACTAAATGTTTGATTTAGTGCTGTCAAATCGTGATTAATTCTATCCAACATAAAAGTTTGTGTTTTGACAGCCCTAATTTGATTATATATATTAATATTTTTATAAAAATAATAATAATTATGAACAGTTTTGCTATTACCTTTATTATTTTTACTAAATATCAAACAAAATAAGAAATATAACTAAAAAATGTTTAAGGAAACAGCAATATTATAATATTAATTCAAATTTAAAATGCAGCTGTTCAATTACAGCAGTAATAATTTCTTAATTTTAACATCCATCAAGCTTTTATTTTGTTGGAAAACCGCAGGAAGCACTTTCTCAGCCAGTTTATAAGAGCTTCTCATTACAAGTTTGGGGAAAAGATTGGTGCACGTTCCGTTCATAAGTGCATGTTATAAACAACCCAAACTCAGAGCAGATGCAGAGATGAGTTCAGGTGGAGCAGCATTTACTGTGAACCGAGCCGCTCTGAGACACTGAAGACACGTGATCATGAGTACTGAACAGTCCTACGCTTGCCTGGCCTTTGTGTTTGCATTATGGTTCCATTAAAGGTGCATTGCGCAACATTTCATGTTAAAAATAGCCGTTTTTCTAACCCATACATGCTTAATTGCCTGATGGGCTGAATGAGCCCTTCTCTGATCACTGTAATCCTGTACATTAAAATAAATTTGAGACTGGGCGTGAAGTCATGCGCGTTCACGCTCTCCTGGCTAGGTCCGGCAGGTTTGTTTATTCGCCGCCATTCTCCGTATCAGCGAAGACAACTCGAGCGACACAACTTTAGTCAACTTTCGACAAAAGTAGAAGATGGATTCAAAGAGACCGGCTTGTAGTTCATTCCAAACCCCAACGCAAACTCCACGTAAGACAAAGAAAATAAAATGTTTGTCTAGTGCCAGGCGTCGGAATAAGACGAGAGTCAACATCGGGAAGCTTTCAACAAATGGAGAGATCTCCGGTCTGCTCTAGAGCTCAAACGGGTCCTATACAAAGTAATAACTTATACTGTTCATGAACGTGTTTCCATAATGATTCAATCATAAGTGGATACTGTAAACACATAAAACAGTTCAACATGGAGATAGATGGAAACAAAAACCGAAGTTTTCTACTAACTTACCCCTGTTTTCCCCTCACACACACACATAAGTGTGTAATTTACTCAAATGCCTTGCCTTTCATATATTTAAAATGACTTGCAGATTTATAGATTTTAGATTTTTCAGATTTCACACCTCTGGTTGCAGTTTCTCTTGTCGCCAGAGGGGGCGTAGTTCTGCAAAAACTCAAGATACTTGCACAATGCACCTTTAAGAACTTTTGTGGTTCAAAAGGTTCTTTATAGTGACGAAGGTTATTTAAACAGTTTTTATACTGAGAACAAAGTGTTTTTTAGGTTCTTCCTGACATTTTTTTAAAGAGTGTATATGAATGCAGTGTTTGTGTCTATCTCAGTCGCAGCTCCTGTTGTTGGAGGATTCATGAGCTCTGCTGTGCTTCTGCTGCTGGTGGCCGGGTGTGTTGTTGTTCTCCTCCTCACCCTCATCATTACCTTCATCATCACCAAAAGGTACATACAGAACATTTTTCTATTTTTCTGTAATGATACAGTGTTGATTTTGTTAACTAAAACTATTCAAATTAACTCAAATAAAAAAATGAATATGAGAAAGTTATTAAACTAACTAAAACAAAAAAATATTTAAAGCTAAATAAAAATATTTAAAAACAAAACGAATAAAAAGTTTAAAAGCACATAATATTACTAAAACAAGCTAAAATTCTAATAAAACCCAATTTGCAATATTTTATTAAGTTTTAGTTTGAGTTTTTTTTTAGTTTTAGTTAGTTTAATAACTTTATCTCACATTCAGTTTATTATTATATAGTATTATTATATATTATTATACTAGTATCATAATAATACTAAAATAACACTGTGATAGACAAATAAATGAATAAATGTTAAAATTGCCAAAATAAATAAAATTATAATTGTGTATATTTTCATCTCAGGAGGAGCAAATACAGCAAAACTAAACAGGCCGAGGAGAAAAACCTGAAGCCAGGTAATCAAACACCTTTCATTAGTCCACCGCTGGAAGAAAAAATGAACATTTTCCATTCTCAAAACTTCTGTAAATATGCCAGCAGGGGTGAGAATATATGTGGACCCTTTCACCTACGAAGACCCCAACCAGGCCATCAGGGAGTTCGCTAAGGAAATCAGTACCTCGTGTATCAAGATCGAGAAGGTGATCGGCATCGGTACGTTAACAATCCTTGTATGTCTTTAGCATGTCATCTGTTGATGAGAGATGCATGTAAATATATCGCTATCTGATCCTGGAGGGGAGTTTGGCGAGGTGTGCAGCGGCCGTCTCAAACTTCCTGGAAAGCGTGAGATCTGTGTGGCCATCAAGACGCTGAAGGCGGGGTTTACCGAGCAGCAGAGGCTGGACTTCCTGAGCGAGGCCAGTGTGATTGGCCAGTTTGAACATCCCAATATCATTCACCTGGAGGGCGTGGTCACCAAATGTAAGTCAACGTTGACATCAGGGGCTTTTATTTGTCTTCTGCAGTAGGGCTGTCAAACGATTAATCGCGATTAATCGCATCCAAAATAAAAGTTTGTGTTTACATAATATATGTGGGTGTACTGTGTATAATTATTTTGTATATAAATAAATAAATAAGCACATGCATTTATATTTAAAAAATATTTTATTTATATATATATATATACATTATTTATTTTTATATATAAAATATAAATTATATATAAATCTATATACAGTATATACATTAAAATATTAATATACAAGCATGTGTGTATTTATATAAAATAATTATACACAGTGCACCCACATATATTATGTAAACACAAACTTTTATTTTGGATGCGATTAATCACGATTAATCATTTGACAGCCCTATTCTGCAGTCTTCATGAGGGTTGACTTGCCTTAGAAATTAAAATTCTCTTATCATTTACTCGCCCTCATGACATACCTAACCCTATTGTATATGACTTTCTTTCTTCAGATAAACAGAAACATTTTTATGAAAGTAATCCATATAATGCAAGTGTATGGGTGCCGCTCGGTTGACATTTGGGTTTTTGGTATGAATGTAGATAAAAAAAAATATTATTCACAAAACATCTATTGTTTCGCTTCGAAAGATATGGATTTTTCTACTGGGGTCGTTTGGATTACCGTCATGGAGACCGTCATTACCGTTATGGCTAAGCTCACCTCCTTAGTTTCAATAAAAGCTGTTTTTAGACCAATGAGGAAGTTTTGAGCTCTGAAACTTACAGGATAATTTTATAGTACAATATCTTCTGACATGTCGAAAGATCAATTCTCAATCATGACCCCTTTAAGTAGAATTGTATGTAATGGAAACGTAATGTAATGGTATTTTTAGAAGTTTATTTAGAATCAAGGATAAACAGCATTTAAACACAACATCTGCTAAAGTACTTGAAGTCTGCTATTGGATGATTGAGGGTAATCATCATAAAATGCCACTATATTACAGAGAGCTTACCACCTTCTAGATACTTTCTGCCTTTAGAACAAATGGTGCAACCAAATAAAGTACAGACTTAGTTACAAACTAACTAGTTGTTATTGAGCTTCTAGTTTCCGTTCTAATGTAAGAACTTAGGAACGGCTGGTGAAACCCTATCCAGAACACGACATGGTCAAAAGTCTGGATATTAAGTAGGCTTAAACCGCCTAAAGAAACAGCTTGGTGATGTCGTTTTCCTTTTGATGTGCTAATGGTCGTGTGTGTTTATGTATGCATGTCCAGCTTATCAGTGTGTTTGCTTGCTGAGCGTGTCCTGACAAAAACTGCTGTGGGATGCACACACACACTCACCCTTGTGGTCTCCAGATGGAGTGGGCCGCTCCGAGGGGCTAATGTGAGCTAAAAAGCACAGCAGACTCATTAATCACTTCGTCAGGCCTAAATGTGTTTGTGGGCTAGAGTGTCACCCTATATCTCTAACCTACAGCCACTGCTGTGTGTGTGTGTGTGTGTGTGTGTGTGTGTGAGTGTGAGAGAGCGAGAGACTTAGCCTTCACACACTACACATTTGGCTTCTTATTTGTCTTGTATTTCCTTCTACTTTATTTTTGTTTACTTACTTTTCTAAATGTAATTTCATGTTTAGTAAACCAGCACTAGTTTATCAATAAGAGAATAAGAGAATGTACTAAAAAATAGTTTTGTGTGTTTAATTCAAATATATATATATATTTTTTTTTTCAATGTCAGAAACACGTCATAACATACATTTAGATTTTTCTATTGATTTTATTAAATATTATTATATTATTTATAAATTGTGTATATGAAAATATATATAAGTTGAATTAAAAGATTTGCAATGCAGAAACAAAATGTAATTACATAATATTTTTTTTAATATATAAATGTATTATATTATATATAAATTGTTTATATTAAAATATATACATATTAAAATGTTAATATTTAAAAATATGTGATACATTTTTAAAAAAATATTTTATAATATTTATTTGTATATGTTGATTATAATCACAACACACACACACACACACACACACACATATATATATATATATATATTAGGGCTGTGCAAAGATTAATTGCGATTAATCACATCCAAAATAATAGTGTTTACATAATATATTTGTGTGTGCTGTGTACTTATTTTGTATATATAAATACACGCACACACATGCATGTATATATTTAAGAAAATGCGTTATTCATAAATAAAATATTTATATACAATATAGATTATGTATTTATTTATTTATATATACAGCATTTACGTGCAAATAATTCTTAAATATATATACATGCATGCATTTGTATTTATATATACAAATAATTATACTTTAAAATATTTAAAATACTTTAAAATATTCAAATTATTTAAATAATAGTTTTATATAACCGTTTCTTTTTGTATGTTGTTATGTATTTGTGTATTATGTGTTTATTTCCCACACTTGGCTGTACATGCTGAAAGAAACTTCATGTCTTGAGCAGCAGGCGACATCAAAACCGTTGATTTATAATTCCTTAGTAAATTAAATTGGCGGTAGACATTTCTAACAGGTGAATACCAGCCAGCACTGTCAATGTTTAATTTACTTTTAGCTCATAAATGTCCCCTTGAAACTATAAAGCCGTCTTAAGTCTCCTGCGTTGTGTTACAGCAGAGTTAATAGAGTTGAATACTGAATTTGCATAATGTAAATTAGTATGAAGTGAATATAAATATGTAAATAAGGCAATGTGGCCCTCTCAGTATCTCTCATCAATGATTCAACAGCATATCTTTGAGACTATTTGACATATAACTGCTGGTATTCTTGCCTCAAATGCAAGTTATAAGTGTTTTTGTTTTTTGAAAATTAATGTAAAATAAAATTTAATTAATTGATGGAGATTCTAACCCTTTTCATGTAAAGTTCATTGTCAAACATACGCATACTTGGCACAACCATACACCCAAAACTTGACAAAGTCAGTAAACACCTCATTAGCATTCTAATAGGGTGGGCGTAAAGAGGCGGGGCTGGGAAACTCAGACAGTGAGTGTGAGAGGTCAGAGGTCACCCTCTCCTCAGGCACTCTGGAAGAGCTGTCAGTCAAACTCGCCTCAAGGTCATCAGAAAGGCCAGCCCAACAAAGATGGCCGACAATGTGTCTGGTCAAGCTTTATTTACCGCACTTCCTCTATAGGAAAGGAGCATTGTTGAGTGTCAATCAGCAGGCCTGCTGTCAGTGTGTGTGTTGATTCTGTTTGAATTACTGATATTCATGTTCTGTCCCTAGTGTTTACATCTGTTTGGTTGACACCGATGTTTTGTCGATGTACGAGGAGTTTCAAGAAACGGTGTTGCATATACTCCCAATGCATCTCTGGCATTCAAATACTGTCAGTGGGAAAGTTTTAGTGCTTTTTAAATAGATTTACATGCAATCAATTAGCAGACGCCTTCATTTAAAACATTTTACAAATAAGGAAAGCAACAAAATGATTCGTCCTAAGAAGGCATTAACATGCTATACTACAAATCTCCATGATTATTCAAGCTAGGTTTGTTGTATTTTTTTATTCTTTTCATAGAAAATGGATTTATTTAGTTTAATTGTTCTCTTTTATTGTAGGCAAGCCAGTTATGATCATCACTGAGTACATGGAGAACGGCTCACTGGACATGTTTCTCAGAGTAAGATTGTGTTTGTGTGTCTCTACAGTGTGTTTCTACACTCTAAAAAATGCTGGGTTGTTTCAACTAGGGATGCACCGAAATGAAAATTCTTGGCCGAAACCGAAAACCGAAAAAGAGGAAACCAAGGCCGAAAACCGAAACACCGAAAGAATTATTACTATCATTGTATTTATGGCTATGACTGTGTACAAACTTTACTAAAATCAAGGCATTGCAATTGCATATTAATATCACATTTTCAAAGAATAAATCAATTACAAATTATGCAAATATTTATTTAGCACAATGCACAGTATAAAATAAAATTCAAACTAAAATGTTTAACTTGACCCCACTCATACACTAAATAATAATCTACTGGCCTGGAGAAAGGTTTTAAAATGAAACGTTCTATCAAAAACAAAGCCGAGCGCAAACTTCTCATCACACTAGCACCCAGTTTGCACGTCTAAATTAGTTACATTTTAAACATTTGGCATACAATAACATAAAAAGCCTTTTTAAATGAACAATGGTCCATGTTTAATACAAATGTACATGAAACTTAATGAAACATGTTTAGTGAATGTAGAAAATATTTAAGAGAGCATTAATTTAGTTCTATACATACATAGTTCCCAATCCCATATACATATTTTTTGTAATGTCACAAGTAATAATCTCAGGGTTTACTGGGTTTTACATGACTATTTTTGTATTGGTGGTGGAATAGCCTACTAAAAAATAAGCATTGTCATGTGTTTATCTTTCTTCTTCTCACCGATTCCTGATGGTTAGAGGACAGTTACTTGAGTCGTCCCCTGTCGTTTCAAGGAATAGTAAAACGGAGAGCGCGTCACGTTTAACGCCTCGACCGTTTGGAGCGGTGCGCGCGCTGTCTGTGGAGACTCGCGCTGCCTTCGCCTGCCTCCGCAGCGCGAGTCTCGCAACCGGAATCGTCGTCATGGCGGCGCGCGTTGTTTAGAGCAGATATAGGTGGATAAACAAGGCTTCCGTCTCCTCGCGGGTTCAGATACACTGAAATACGTCCACACCACAGACATGTTGCTTCAGACAAGCACGTGCAGGTCGCGGTTTCTGTTTGCGTCATCACAACATTTCGGCCGTATTGTTTCGGTGATAAAAGTCTTTCGGCCGAAAACCGAAAATGCCCTTTTGGGCCATTTTCGGCCGAAAATTTTCAGCGGCCGAATATTCGGTGCATCCCTAGTTTCAACCCAAATTTGGGTCAAATATGGACAAACCCAAATTTTGGGTTAATAATTTAATTGAAAAATGTTGAAAGTGAAAGTTGAAGTTGGGTTAAAATTTTAAATGTTTAACCCAACTTTTGGGTTGGTCCATATTTGACCCAAATTTAGGTTGAAACGACCCAGCATTTTTTAGAGTGTATATTTAAATTAAAAATATATCTTAAATTCTACTTTCTTTTTTTTTAAATTTCATTTTCAAGATGGATGGATGGATGGATGGATGGATTTGACTTTGACTTTGACTTTGGATTCTTGTCAAGGTGTCACGATTTAGGTCTGAAATGTTGCTTCCTCTTTCAGAAGAACGACGGTCGCTTCACTGTTATCCAGCTGGTGGGCATCCTGAGAGGAATCGCGTCCGGTATGAAATATCTATCCGACATGAGTTACGTTCACAGGGACCTCGCAGCACGCAACATCCTAGTAAACAGCAACCTGGTGTGCAAAGTCTCAGATTTTGGGATGTCCAGAGTGCTGGAAGATGAACCAGAAGGAGCGTATACCACCAGGGTATGAGTGTTTACATTTATTCATATACAGTTTTACATTTACAATAAGGTCCTATTCGTTAATATTAGCTAATGCGTTAACTAACATTGAGCAATAATTTTTAACATATAGTTAACAATATAACACTGGTTCCAATACTGTTATATGGAATTTCAGCCTTCTGGGAATGTCACTTATTTAAATTAGTGGATTGGAATTTACTGTAAAAAGGCCAGTAAAGGATAACTGTGATGATAACGATAAAGATATGGTTCTATTAATCATTCTAAATATAAAAGAATCGCAGAGTCGACAACAAAAACGGCGCTGAGAAACGATAATGTTGGAATCACTTTCAGAACGATTTTTACAGCTGATGAACGAAAGACACATTGACAGCCAATCAGAATCCATCCTGCTTTAAAGATGGATTGTGTGGACTCTGGTGTAAATGGGTTTAACATGAACCTGAACCTGTCAATCACAGGGAGGAAAGATTCCAATCCGCTGGACTGCTCCAGAAGCCATCATGTACAGGAAGTTCACCTCGGCCAGCGACGTGTGGAGTTACGGCATCGTCATGTGGGAAGTGATGTCATATGGCGAACGACCATATTGGGACATGAGCAACCAGGATGTAAGTGGCACTGTACCACAAATCGAATTAAATACGAGGCCTGTCATGCCTTCTGCGCTGGCGTTCCCATGGTACGCTTAGAAGAGTATTAATACTTTGCTTTATCGTGCTATTGTGTGCCATGCCAAGTTACACAAACCAACTGAATGCGCTAGTTCAGAAAGATCAGCCACTCATTTCCTCTCTCCTGTTTCCTAGGTGATAAAGGCAATAGAGGAAGGCTACCGGTTGCCGCCGCCCATGGAGTGCCCGCTGGCTCTGCATCAGCTCATGCTGGAGTGCTGGATGAGGGAACGTGCAGACAGACCCAAATTCAGCCAGATAGTCAACATGCTGGACAAACTCATACGCAATCCCGCCACGCTCAAGAGGACGGCAGGAGACGCCAGCAGGTACACATCAACACTTTTATTCATGTTTTTATAAGGGCTGTGCAAAAATTAATTGCGATTAATCGAATCCAAAATAAAAGTCTGTGTTTACATAATATATTTGTGTGCACCGTATATAATTATTTTGTATATATAAATACCTATGCATGCATGTATATATTTAAGAATTATTTGCGCTTAAATTCTGTATATATATATATAAATACAAAATCTATATTATATAAATATAAATATTTTATATATGAATAACACATTTTCTTAAATATATACATGCATGTGTATGTATTTATATATTCAAAATAATTATATACAGCACACACAAATATATGATGTAAACGATTAATCGCAATTAATTTTTGCACAGCCCTAGTTTTTATTCTTGTATTCTTGAAAACAAAAATCCCTAATGAACGTTTATTGGGTTTATCTATTCTTTTGGGAATAACGAATAGAGTAGATTCTTTTTTAATCTACTTATAAATTCTGTAAACTAGATAGATAGAATGCTCAATTTCATGTAGGCTTGAGTCCCATAATATTTCAGAATGCATTTTAGTTTACTTCTAGATAAATCCTGTCATGAGCAACAGTTTGAGGCGAGACACTATAGGTGTCTAGGGTAAAATTTTTCAATAACAGATATCACCATGAAACTTCCTCAGTTGATTACTTACACAAGAAAATAAAAAAATGTATTACAAGTTTTTGAAATTTGCATGATTAATTATGCAAATTAGGCATCATCTCATTAAATATGTGCGATTTCGGTGTTTATATGATAAAGCCAGATGAAAAATTATTTGTAAAATTTTGTTTACACACAAGAATCAAGATAACAAAAAAGTTCAGGATATATGCTTTCATTACCTAGGAAATCAAAATGTATTGTCCATACCCTTCAGGGCTCCAGACTGCGACCAAATGGTCGCATTTTGCGACCAAAATTTGAGAGTGTGCGACTGAATTTTACATCCAGTCGCACATGTGCGACCAGTAAATTTGCCACACGTTAAACGCATGGTAAAGCGTGGAAGGGGCGCGTCAATGAATCCGTGACAAGAATAGCGCGCGTAAGCGTCTGTGGGAAGGAGACGGAGACAAATATCACAACCTGATGTGCGTCTGAGCAATCAGCGATCTATCGACTCGTTAGACGTTACCTAGCAGCGAATGCAAACAAAATGAAAGCGGAACGAAAATACGCCACTCATGTATGATTAGGACCGTGGAGCAGCAGCTGCGATCCGAACCATAAAGCCTCGAACTTGCCAGTCGCGGGCCGATCTCGCTCACGCAACTACTGTTACTAGGAGATCCAGTGAATAAATCCATTGAATTCGCCTCAGAATTAATAACATCAACACCACGAGATCCAGTGAGAAACACTCCGATTCGGCGCAGAGTTCTGTTATCAGATCAAACAGCGCTGACGTGGAAACCAGGAGAAATACTTATAGAAGGCTTTCAGTCCACAAATCAGCCTAACAGAACCATGGATTTAGGCTAATTTAGTAAGTTAACTCTAACCATAAATATGATAATGTGTAAGAAATAGTCAAATGCTTACAAGTAGCCTACTACACATCTTTTCCCAGCACTTCAATAATATCATATATAAATGTTTTATTTTTTTGTATTTTTTATGTGATTACCAACGCATTTTTTGTTCAACCTTTAAAGATTGTCCTAAAAAGAAAAAATTTAAGATGTTGGAAAACTCTTATTTAAACACTTAAAAAAAATACCATTGTAAACAGTAGGATGTTTATTGGCTATTTTCACTCCATGTACATATTTTCACTACTTTTATTAATTAATATTAAGACATTATAAATGATAATAACTAAAGTTAATTTCATCTACACCCTAAATTAAGCTTAGTGATTTATTGTCAGCCCTAGTGCTACCAGAATTTTTTTTTTTTTTTTTTTTTTTTTTTTTTGTAGAACTCGCTGTGAGTTCTCATTTGAGATGATGCTGCCCTCAACTTTGAGTCTGGAACCCTGTGAAGTTAAAATAAAACAGCATATCATAATGTTAAGTCTATTTATTATTAAATAATTTGTCAGTATTACAGTTATTTTGGGGGAAATTTGAATAATTGCATTGCAAGCTGAGTGTGCCCCTAAATTTTCTGCTTGCGCTCCTAAAATTTTCAGTCAGGGGCAACAGCGCTCCTAGTAAAAAAAGTTAGTCTGGAGCCCTGCCCTTAAAAAAAATTTTATTTTCGCCATATTTTTTAAATTAAAATGTCACATAAATCAGGCCGGAAATGATTTATTAACAAATCCCTCTGAAAATATCCTCAGAATACTGGTAAGTGTATAACTGGAAAGTTTGGTGCTACATAGGCTGAGATGTTTGTACTGGAGAATGACAAACTTACTTTCAGAAAAGGGCATTTAAAGATTTAAGTAGGGAATGTAATACATTTCTATGGGAAAACATTGTTACTAAAATGCTCATGCCCCAAGTAATAATATATAAAATGTCAAGCTTTCAATGAGATTTCATCATTAGCTTTAAATCACCCTTTGGACATTCACGATTGGTTGATGATAGAAAGGAAATGCCTATATTTGGGTTACATCAGACTCAGAGCTTTACAACGATACCGGTCATGACAGACTTCAGTAAACAGACGGACCGCGGCATGACGCGCTGGAATGCTAACTTGGTAAATTTGGGAGAAATTTACTGCCTCAAGTAAACAAAATGTAATAAAATAAACATCTTAAAGTATATTTTCAATGTTTTCTTTATAGCAGCTTGTGAGAATACATATTGAAAGAGTCTCGCCCAAAACTCTCAAAACTGATCAATGCATGAAAAAATCGATGTTTTTGCCTGCCGTGTCTCGCCTTAAAGAGAACCTGGTTAGCGATATGTACAATGGGACCATGTTATTGCAATACATGCATACTGTATATAGCATACAAATGTTTGGAAATTAATACTTTTATACAGAAATAATGCATTAAATCGATCAAAGGTAACATTTAAGACATTTATGTTAGATACTTCTATTTCAAAGAATCCTGGAAAATGTACCACAGTTTCTACAAGAAATAACATTCAAGAAATAAAGCAATCTTTCAAGAAATAAGGATCATGTGACACTGAAGACTGGAGTAATGATGCTGAAAATCAGCTTTGCATTACCGGAATAAATTACATTTGAAAATATATTCAAATTATTTAAAATTGTAAGAATATTTCACAATTTCTTTATTACAAAAAAATGCAACCTTGTTGAGCATAGAAACATTAAAAAAATCTTACTGACCACAGAGTTATGAACAGTAGTGTATGGTTCTAGCTTAAACTTAAAATATGATACTTAGCATTTTTATTTAAAACAATTTTTTAATGATTTTATTGAGATTTTATTGAGTTCCTTTGTAAAGTTTCCATTATAAAGACATTTTTAGAGAAGTAATCTCTATTTTAAGTGCAGAAAAACAAGAAAAGTCATGCAAACACACATAACGCCACATATACTGGTATGTGTGTGTATATATATATATATATATATATATACTGTATATATATAAACGCAAATCAGTTCTGGCAAGTTAATTTTCTCTGGCATAAAATGTATTATGTAATGTTGTTGCCGTCAGGCCCCACCCATCCATGCTTCACCACACCCCCTCTGAAGGCTCCGCCCCCTCTTTGAGTTCTGTGGATGAATGGCTGAAAATCATTGGACTTGAGCAATACAGAGAAAACTTCAACACAGCAGGATACTGCAGCTTAGAAAGCGTCATGCCCATGAGTCATGAGTGAGCATCCCAACACATTACACACCTAATTAAACATCCTGATGAACTTGAAGATGACTACAGCTCACTAAATATGCCCTGTGCTGCTCTTTTACAGGGATCTGGCCAAAATGGGAATCTCATGCAGTGCACATCAGAGGAAAATCCTGAGCAGCGTCCAGGATTTATTGTCTGGAATGCATCGAAGACAAGACACAAAGATTTCTGTCTGAGCTGTGACGAAGGGAAAAAAACAATGCATCATGTTGGTTGAATGCATGAATTACGGAAGAGACGGAATATTTCACATCACTCTTGCACTTTAATGGAATATGAATGGTATGAAGATCAGAATGAATGAGCTAAACTGCACTTTTCTGGACCGCGTTGTGCTTTTACAAGGTTTTTTTTTTTTTCATTTTCTTCCCTGATTGTCTTTATGATGTCTAAGGATTTTTAAACTGGCCTTTTGCCGACAATTAAAATGACTTAATGTGTCTCCCCGGATGAGATGTTTCTTACCCTCTTGATCCAGGCAGCGAGGCAGTATTTTTTTTGACAGGATAAAGTTTGGGAATTGTCCTCCTTGTGTAAGTGGAAAGAACCATTTAAACTAAGTGCAAACACGCCTTTCTCCTCAGGATCTTTTCAGGATGGCCGATCGTCATCATCAGCAGGAAGGAATTGTTCCCTGTGGATCAAATTTTGTTATATTCAAAAGGATCTTTTGCCTCGGGAGATTTTTTTTTTTTTTGAGCCATTGTAAACTAATCTAACAGACCTTTTGGATGGTATGTGTTTGTTTTATGAAGGCCAGATGGAGCTTTTAGAGGCATTGCTGAATGGAAAATAATATCGCTTTATTTGTTGAATTATTTTTTTTTAAATAAAGGGAATGAGAAGATAGATCCAGATAAGATTTAGTCTTGGGTTACTCATGTGCTGTGTATTCAATCTTTTTAAGTAGCAAAGTAAATGACTTAATCTGACGGCTCTTCCTGGTTTCTTTTTGTCAACCCTTCAGTCTTTTTATTTTTCCCTCTTTTCAGTTTAATTTAATTTACATCCATGTCTCTACCTTTTGAGTATCTACAACCAGAGGTCATGCGCAAATAATTAAATCTGTGTATGTAATTTGATAAAATGTTCGAAACTGCTGAATTGAATCATTACAAGAATTTCATAGTCACAGATCTATTTTTAAAACTTTTTTCACTGTACATAATCTAGGATTTTGTTTGTACATATGATAGTTTTTAATTGTTTTCTTCATGATGTATATAATACCAGTGGTCGTTTTCATGTACAGCTTCTGAGTTGTCATTTTCTTCCTGTTTTCCCCTTGACACGTGCAAAAAGATGTTAACGTAATGTATTTAATTTTCACAGTGAGCATAATATTCATGTTGCAGTAAATTTAACATTGTAAAACAGCAGTACATTTAAGAAAGGTTTGGTAACAGGTTGAGGTATCTTAATTTTACAGTTTCTGTATTTCCACCTAACTTATGAGCTTTATTTATGATCTTTTTGTATCTAGTACTTTAAATAAAATTTCAAAGAAATTGTTTGTACTTAACACTCTATAAGCATCCAGAACAATATCCATATATAGTATGACATCCTTTCTATGAGTTTATGATGGTTACTGTATTTTATGAGTTATCCTACTCTTTTTTTAAGGGTTATCTTAAACAGTGTTTGTGTTTTTCTGTTTTTATGATGACTTTTCCAGTATCATGGACATCATATTCAAGTCTGACTCTTCCAGATCATTCTCAAGCAGATCGATCTCTTTCAGGTGGGAATGATATGATTTCAGAGCTTCGGTCAGTGCCGTCACACTTTCTTGTGTAACATTACAGTTGGACAACCTGAAGAAAGCAGAGTGGATTTTCAGACAGGGGAAAAGTTATCCAATAATTGTATAAATGGTTTAGTTTTTGTGGAAATCTGTGTTTGTTTCATTTCTTTTACCTCAGCTTCTCTAGTTTACAGTGAGGACTTTGCAGGCCAACACAAAGCTGCTTCACTCCTGAGTCTCCTAGATCATTGATACTCAGATCCAGGTCTGTCAGATTGGAGGTCTTTGAGCTGAGAGCTGAAGCCAGAGCAGTGCAACTTTTCTCTGTAATTCCACATTTGTCCAACCTGAGAAAGAAATTAATTATAAAATATGCTTTGTTTTCCAACTTTATCAAAAACAATGCACTGATTTCTAAATGTTAACCTCAGTGTTTTCAGTCTACAGTTTGGATCGTGGAGAACAGCAGACAGCAGCTCAACTCCCTGATCTCCAGGTCTGTTGTTTCCCAGGTCCAGCTCTCTCAGATGAGCGTTTGACTGCAGAGCTGAAGCCAGCGATTCAAAGCCTTCTGTGTTGATTTTGCTGGTTGAAAGTCTTACAAGTAAAAAAGTTCTTAATTATACATATTATATTAAAGCAATCATTCACCACAAGAAAGTTAGTAATTCCGTCATTTACGCATTCAAAGTGAATGGTAATTTAAATTCCAACCTCAAAACATCATAAAAGTAGACCAAATTGACAACATTTTACTGAAATGTAGCTTTAACTTAACAGAAGTTTAAGGGGGAGAGTGTGCTATTGCTCTGTAATACTATTCCGAAACCACGGCCACATTTTGAACGGGTTGCAATTGGTCACGTGACACATCGATTGTACATAAGCGCATGTCCTACACTGTAAAACATTTCAAATCATTAAACTTAGAAACAAAAGTTCACCTGCTGCCTTAAAAACGAGTTAGCTCAACTTAAATATATTCTTTGGTTCAACTTAAAATGTTGTGTTTTATAAGTTATCTAGCTAATGAAAATTTGTTGTTTCAACTTGATTCTTTGAGTTTACACAACTGTCAAATTTTTCAGCACAAATTCGCGTAATGACTGCTGGCAGCTGCGCTAACTCAAAATGGTGACAACTTCTATCTGTTTTGCTGTAGGCCTATTTGCTCTGTATCACCCCGCCCTCCCCCAACATTAACTTACAGCCACAAGAAGTAAGTCCATGTTTTACAGTCATTTAGATAAAGTTATCATACAGCTTTAGAAGGCTTGAAATATTACCTACCAGTCATATGGGGTGCTTTTTTTGTGACATTTTAAATAACTACCAACTGTCATTTTATGGAAACACTGCCTAATAAAACCTCCTTTTGGATTTAAACAAAAAATAAATAAATCTGCATTGTAACAATGTAACAATGAGCAAATAATTTTAATTTGTCGATGAATTAATCCTCTAAAGTTCATGAATTCAAAAGTCACTACATTTACTTTGAGAGTAACATCATCAAAGCCTTAGATTGTCTCTCCATTGACAGTTTGTACTGCATAACACTCTAAAGGGTTAGTTCTAACTAACCCTTTAACTAGAACTTACCCTTTAAATTAATCAATGATTCAGATAAAGGTCAAAAAACATACTAATTAAATTTGTTAACTCACTTCAGTGTTTCCAATGCACACTGAGCTTTCTTCAGAGCAGAACAGACATGTTTAACTCCTGAGTCTCCAATGTTATTCCCGCTCAAGTCCAGCACTTTCAGATGAGAAGGGTTTAAACTCAGAGCTGAGCTCATGGAAACACAGCCTGCAAAATCATTGAACTTCTCATTCGATGTCATTGAGACGTACACCAGAGCTGACCAGAGATGTGGGGACAGAGTGTCGTTGTTTATTTTTCCGGAGGTCAGGTAGCTTTGGATTTCCGTAATGAGAGAATGATCATTTAGTTCTGTCAAACAGTGGAAAAAAACAAGAGTCTTTTCTGTGCAAGGGATTGTTTTTATTGTTTGCTTGAGATACTCAATAGTTTTCTCTCTTTCCAGGGAGCTGTCTGTCGTCTTCACCAAAAGCCCTTTTAGGAGCTCGTGATTTGATTCTAGTGAAAGTCCCATGAGGAAGCGAAGGAAAAGATTGAGATGTCCATTCATAATTTCTGTGTGTGTACATCTGTGTGAGAGTCTTGGGAATCTCTCGTCTCTCTGCTTCGCTCATCATCTTCTCCAGAACAGTGGCTGAGATCCAGCAGAACACTGGGATGTGGCACATGATGTAGAGGCTCCTTGAGGACTTCAGGTGTGTGATGATTGTATTGGCCAGACTCTGATCACTGACTCTCTTCCTGAAGTATTCCTCCTTCTGTGGATCATTGAAGCCTCGTACCTCTGTCACTCGATGGACACACTCAGGCGGGACGAGATCGGCTGCTGCTGGTCTGGAGGTGATCCAGATGAGAGCAGAGGGAAGCAGATTCCCCACAATGAGGTTCGTCAACAACACGTCCAGTGAGGTCTCTTTGGTCACATCCCGTAGAGTCTCATTGCTGTGAAAGTTTAAGGGAAGACGACACTCATCCAGACCATCAAAGATGAAAACTACAGAGGAGTTTTGAATCAGATGTGAACTTGTCTCTGCCATAAAAAATGTTTGAAGAAGACCAATTAAACTGAACTTTTTGTCCTTCATCAGATTGATCTCTTTGAAAGGAAGTGGAAATATGAGCTGGACGTCCTGATTGTCTTTCTCTTCAGCCCAGTCCAGGATGAACTTCTGCACAGAGACTGTTTTTCCAATGCCAGCGACTCCCTTTGTCAGCACAGTTCTGATGAGTTTGTCTTGTCCAGGTAAAGCTCTAAAAATGTCATTGCATTTGATTGGTATTGTTGCTCCTTCAGCAGCCTTCAGTGATTCCTCTATCCTTTTAATTTCATGTTCATTATTGATCTCTCCATTTCCACCCTCTGTGACGTAGAGCTCTGTGTAGATCTCATTCAGGAGTGTTGGGTTTTCCTGCTTTCCCAGTCCCTCGAAAATGTAGAGATGCTTCTTTTTCATGCAAGATTTTAATCTTTGGTAGATCTCTGGGTCATGTGTTTGCTGGTTATATCTGTAAAAAAATATAATTTTTTCAGTCGAAAATAATAAAACTACAGAACCTGTAGCCTATGTAGCCATTTAGTGTAAACTTGAAACTTTTTTCATGATATTCAAACAACATAAATGTATAAAAGATAAATATCTTAAAACACTATGAATAAAATAAAATAAAAATGCTATGATATCATATGTATTTTCCATTGTTTTTTTGTTTTGTTTTTTTGTTTTTTTTGTAATCTCTGTAATGTAATTTTTTGTGGCCAATTTAATTAGATGTTTCTAATGAAGACTGACTTCTGTAAAAAATATGAGTAAATATTCTGATAAGCAAGATACATAATTCTTTGAGTAATGAGTTAAATTTTGTTTTACTATGTTATTTCTCACTTTTCAAAAGCATATCATTAAAGCATTT